CATTTGATATATTTCCCTGAATACCGTTGTCATGGAGTGCATATTATGGCTGCGGAGAACAAAAATAACAAATCGGATGAACAGTATATATAGGAGCATAGCTATATCTGAACCGATTTCGATCAAATTTGGCATACTTATTTTCAGGCCTAATTTGGTTGTATGTGGAAAATTCCATCCCATTTGGACAAATATTAGAAGTTTGGTGTACAATAAAAGGTAAATCGGACGAAGTTATATATGGGAACTATATCCAAATCTGAACCGATCTCGATAAAATTTAGCAAAGGTATTTCTGAGCTGCATTTGATATATTTCCCCCAAATATTGTTGTTACAGAGTGCATATTACGGCTGCGAAGGACAAAAATAACAAATCGGATGAATAATATATATGGGAGCTATAGCTATATTTGAACCGATCTTCACCAAATTTGACATACTGGCTTCTAGACTCAATTCGGTCGTAAGTGCCAAAATCCATCCAATTTGGGCAAATATTAGACGTTTGGTGCACAATAAAAGGTAAATCGGACGAAGTTATATATGGGAGCTATATCCAAATCTGAACCGATCTCGATAAAATTTAGCAAAGGTATTTCTGAGCTGTATTTGATATATTTTCCCTGAATATCGTTGTTACGGAGTGCATATTACGGCTGTGGGTAACAAATACAACAAATCGGATGAACATTATATATGGGAGCTATAGCTATATCTGAACCGATTTCGATCAAATTTGGCATACTTATTTTCAGGCCTAATTTGGTTGTATGTGCAAAATTCCATACTATTCTGGCTGATATTACACGTTTGGTGCAAAATGAAAGGCAAATCGGACGAAGTTATATATGGGAGCTATAGCTATATCTGAACCGATCTTCACCAAATTTGACATACTAGCTTCTAGACTCAATTCGGTCGTAAGTGCCAAATTCCATGCCATTTGGACAAATATTAGGCGTTTGGTGCACAATAAAAGGTAAATCGGACGAACTTATATATGGGAGCTATGTCCAAATCTGAACCGATCTCGATAAAATTTGGCAAATGTATTTCTGAGCTGTATTTGATGTATTTCCCTGAATATCGTTGTCATGGAGTGCATATTACGGCTGTGGATAACAAATACGACAAATCGGATGAACATTATATATGGGAGCTATAGCTATATCTGAACCGATTTCGATCAAATTTGGCATACTTATTTTTAGGCCTATTTTGGTTGTATGTGCAAAATTTCATACTATTCGGGCTGATATTACACGTTTTGTGCACAATAAAAGGTAAATCGGACGAAGTTATATATGGAAGCTATGTCCAAATCTGAACCGATCTCGATAAAATTTAGCAAAGGTATTTCTGAGCTATATTTGATACATTTCCCCAAATATTGTTGTTACAGAGTGCATATTACGGCTGCGGAGGGCAAATATAACAAATCGGATGAACAGTATATATGGGAGCTATAGCTATATCTGAACCGATTTCGATCAAATTTGGCATACTTATTTTCAGGTTGGTTGTATGTACGAAATTCCATACTATTCGGGCTGATATTACACGTTTGGTGCACAATAAAAGGTAAATCGGACGAAGTTATATATGGGAGCTATATCTAAATTTTGACCGATTATCTCCAATTTCAATAGGGTTCGCCCTTGGGTCAAACAAATGATTTGTGCAAAATTTCATCTGGATAGGGCAATAAATGCGAACTGTACTTTGTTTACAAAAATACATGGAAAGACGGACGGACGGACATGCATAAATCGACTCAGAATGTAATTCTATGCAGATCATCAAAAGGAACTATGGGGTAATATCCATTACGAACTTCAAATACCAAATTTGAAACAATTCCGGTGAAATGTGTCGCTAAAATCATCAAAAATACCGAATATAGGGAGGTACTCTTATATTGGGGCTATACGAAGACGTGGACCTGCACAGACAATTTTCTGTCAAAGGCTGCAGTATCTATTTCGAACCTTAAATACCAAATTTGAAACAATTCCGGTAAATAATGTAGCTAAAATCCTCAAAATACCGAATATCGGGAGGTACCATTATATGCGGACTATACGAAGACATGGACCTGCAGAGACAATTTTCTGTCATAGGGTATAGTATCCATTACGAACTTCAAATACCAAATTTGAAACAATTCCGATGAATAATGTAGCTAAAATCATCAAAATACCGAATATTGGGAGGTACCGTTATATGAGGGCTATACCAAAACGTGTGGACCTACATGGCCCATTTTCAATACCAAAAGTCCTGCAGACATAATATACATTTGAGTAAAATTTTATCAACCTACTTCTTTTCGTTCGGAAGCTAGAGTGATGTCCACAGACGGAGGAACGGAAAAAAACTGTTATCGATTGTTATCGAAATTAGTTTCCATTGAAAATCGATAATTTTCTGAAGAAAATTCATTATCAAATATATTGTCTATCCACATTTTATTAAAAAATTACTTTTCGACCTATTTTGAAAAATGAAAAATTAGTGTTAAGTGTGTTATCGAATGTTATCGAAATTTGTTTCTATCGCAAATCGATAAATTTTCTAAAGAAAATTTCGTTATCAAAACCATTTTATATTAAGAATTTTTTTTCCGATCTTATGTCCCCTATGAAAAGATGTTATCGATTTTTATCGAAATTAATTTTAATCGCAGAACAATAAACATTTCCAACAAAAATGTATTCCTCAAGTTTTTATCCATTTACTTTTTATTAAAAAATGTTTTCGACCTATTTTCCCAATAAAAATTTGTTATCGATTGTTATCAAAATTTATTTTCATCGAAAATAGATTAACTTTTCCAAAGATAATTTGCAAACCGTTCTTAATTTTATTAAAAAAATATTTCGCCCTACCTTTCTCTATGAAAAAATGTTATCGATTGTTATCGAAATTTGTTTTTATCGAAAATCGATAAATTTTTCCACAGAAAATTTGCCATCAAAGATATAATTGATACACTTTTTATTACAAAAAAATATCTTGCGACCCATTTTTTCATGAAAAATAAGTGTTAAATGTGTTATCGATTGTTATCGAAATTTTGTTTCTTGCGCAAATCGATAAATTTTCCAAAGAATATTCGTTATCAAAACCAATATTTATTTAGAACATATTTTCCGACCTTATTTCCCATTTGAAAATATGTTATCGATTTTTATCGAAATTATTTCAATCGCACATCAATAAACATTTCAAACGAAAATTTGTTCTTAAAAATTTTATCGTTTTACTTTTTATTAAAACATGTTGTTCGACCTCTTTCCTCCCAATCAAAAAATGTTATCGATTGTTATCAAAATTTGCTTTTATCGAAAAATCTATAAATTGTTTAAGAGATAATTTGCAAACCGTTCTTCATTTTATTAAAAAAAAAGTATTTCGCCCTTCTTTCCTCTATGAAAAAATGTTATCGATTGTTATCGATTTTTTTATCGAAAATCGATAGATTTTTCGACAGAAAATTTGCCATCAAATATATAATTGATACACTTTTTATTAAAAAAAATATTTTGCGACCCATTTTTACGTGAAAAATAAGTGTTAAATGTGTTATCGATTGTTATCGAAATTTTGTTTTATCGCAATTCGATAAATTTTCCATTGAAAATTTGTCATCCAAAAAATAATTGATACACTTTTTATTTAAAAAAAAACTTTTTTTTCATCAAAAAGTGTTAAATGTGTTATCGATTGTTATCGAAATTTGTTTTTATCGCAATTCGATAAAATTTCCATTGAAAATTTGGCATTAAAGAAATAATTGATACCATTTTTATTAAAAAAAATTTTTAGCGACCTATTTTTTCGTGAAAAATGTATTATCGATTGTTATCGAAAGTAGTTTTCATCGCAAATCGATAAATTTTCCATTAAAAATTTGTCATCAAAGATCTCATTGATAAACTTTTTATTAAATAAATACTAATACTAAATACTAAAATTAAATGTGTTATCGATTGTTATCGAAGTTTGTTTTTATCGCACATCGATAAATTTTCCATTGAAAATTTGTCATCAAAGACATAATCGATACACTTTTATTAATAAAATAGTTATCGACTTATTTTTGGTGAAAAATAAGTGTTCAATGTGTTATCGTTTGTTATCGAAATTTGTTTTTATCGAAAATCGACAAATTTTTCCATTGAAAATTTGTCATCAAAGATATAATTGATACACTTTTTATTAAAAGAAATACTTATCGACTTATTTTTGGTGAAAAACAAGTGTCAAATGTGTTATCGATTATTAACGAAATTTGTTTTTATCGGAAATCGGTAATTTTCCCCCTTAACAAAGTTCAAGTCGTTACACATTTAGCTATTTTTTGTGAAAAATAAGTGTCAAATATGTTATCGATTGTTATCGAAATTTGTTTTCATCGCACATCGATAAAATTTCCAAGGAAAATTTGTCTTCAAAGAAATAATTGATACACTTTTTATTAAAAAAAATTTTAGCGACGCATTTTTTCGTGAAAAATAAGTGTTAAATGTGTTATTGATTGTTATCGAAATTTGTTTTTATCGCAAATCGATAATTTTTCCCCATAAAATTGTTCATCAAAGTTCTAGTCGTTAAATTTTTCATTTAAGAAATACTTATCGACCTATTTTTATGAATAATAATCGTCAACTATGTTATCGATTGTTATCGAAAGTAGTTTTCATTGCAAATTGATAAATTTTCCAAGGAAAATTTGTTAACAAAATTCTTATCGATCCAATTGTCATGAAAAAGATATACTTCACTTATTTGCTCACGAAAATAAAATTTATCGATTGTTATCGAAATAAAATTTATTGCAAATCGATAAAGTTCTCCAGAGGAAATTTATTATCGATGTCGTTTTGATCTATTTTTTATTAAAAAAGGCATTTATCGATTTATTATCGATTGTTATCGATTTTGTTTTTAATTTGAAAATATTTTATTTAATTCCTAATTTTTGCTCCTACTCACCTGTAAATGATCTAGCAATGCCTCCAGGCCACGATCCGATATTGAGGAACATCTTAACGACAACGAGTGTATGTGCTTCGAGGCCAGCGTAAACGAATGCACCACATCGTAGGCATCGTCGTCATTGGCCCCGACCAGGGCCAGGGCATGGAATCCGCGACGTATCAACGAATTGAAGAGTTTCACCCGATCGGTGGCATTCATTTGTCTCAGCTCACGACACTGCAGTGTCGGCAATAGGCCAGACCAAAATCTCGGACTGCGATAGAGCACATCACGCCATTTCATGCAGACTTGAGCCAGGATTCGCCGCTCATAGGAATTGAAGTAGAGAAAGAATTTGTTGAGGAAACGCTCGTCCTGCATCAGGGAGTCGATGCTTGTTATGGGCGGGGGTTGTTTGGGTAGAATGAGGGCGGACTGGGTTACGGCAGCGGCCAGTTGGGTGGCCGCCACTGTTCCACCGCCGCCCACGCCTGCCGAGGCATAGGGATGATGCAGATGGGGATTGGGTAGCTGTTTGCGCATTTGCAGGGGTGTGAGAGACTGGGACTTTTGGGCCGCCGCCATGCCCATGGTGGTGAACTGGGGTGCAGGGGTGCCCGGAGTGCCGGGTATGGTGATGTTCATCTGCTTGGCAATGGAATTGACTGTGGGCGTGGGTGGCGCCCCCAGTGGAATGTTTGCGACCACCGTGGGTGGTGGACCGGCCGGATTCATGAGATTCGAGTTGATTAGCGTGGAGTTGGCGATCTGTGAACTTAAATACTGCTGGTGCTGATGCTGATGCTGGGTGGAGGCTGGAGGGGTTTTGTGGGACTGCTGCTGCAGCAGCTGGTAACTGTTGACGCTGGTGGCTGTTGTTGTCGTTGTCATGTGATGCTGCAGGCTGTGATGGGTCTGTTGCTGGGTGTTGGTTGTTATGGTGCCCGCCCTGCTGGGTTTGTCAGGTGTCACCAGGTTGCTGCTTGCTGACGCCACTGTTGTTGTGTTCTGACCATGGGAATTGTTTTGACTGGAATTGTTCGCATTCGAATTGGAGTTGGCATTTGAATTGCCACCGCACAGGGCATTCGTTACGCGTTCCATTACCGAGGTCTTGCCACTGCCCGACGAGGAGTTGGAGGAGGAGCTGGTCGAAGAGGAGGACGAAGACGACGAGGATGAGGACGAAGAACTGCCAGAGTTGGGAGAGGAATTATTCGCCGACTGATTGCCTCCGCCGCTAGTTGTTGTATTACTGTTGTTTGTTGCCGCTGCTGACGATGTTGTTGTCGTTGTTGAGCTGCCACTATTGCCATGATGGTGTTTCGAACGCAAGCCGAGGCCATTGATACGCTTGGATAGTTCAGCGGAGGCACGTTCGACCACGCCTTGCGCCGATATTGAGGACATGGTATGCTGGAATAAATTCACTTTGTAGCCGGTATTTTGGCGTGGCGCGCTCCTGGCGAAAAACAAGACAAGAATCGAGAATTTTGGGGGAGGGCGAAGGGGAAGTTAGTTTTGAGAGAGTGTTAAGAGGATGCTTGAGCTGGAAAAATCATAGAGGACTTTTTGAGATTTTTTTATCGATTTCAAATGAGAGAGACTTTTACAAAGTCTTCAAAATCGCCAAAGAGGGGCGGTAGGATTTCCAAACAAAATTAATTTTTTTTTTCAAATTCCAAAACTGCCTTTTTTCCGTTTAATTTGGGGAGCTTTGAATTAATTCTTTGTTAATTTTCTATTAAAGGTCTTCCGAGTCCAATGCTATAGCTGCTCTCTCTTATTCTCTTTTTTGCTCTCTCCCAATTTTTTTATACCTCCAAGAAAAGACCAGCTTCTCTCTTGTTCAGCAATCAATTGTTTTTCAAACGTAAAATGGAATTTCTCTTCAATTGGGCTATTTATATTCCACTCTGTCTCTCTTTCTCTTTGCCTCAGACAAGGACTCTCTCTTCCCAATAACAGCAATGCCGTGATTCCACTATGGAAAAATAACGGCCGTTTCTCTTTAACTCTTTCAAACAAAGATCCCAAATGGAGTTGGTTACAATTACTCTTTTTCTCTCTCACAAATGTTTCTCTTTAAATTCCAATGCTCTTTAAAGCCGTTATTTTATAAGAGCCTTTATTTTGCTTTTTTCTTTTTCTCCTTTTTTTAAATTATCAAAAATTTTTCGCTTTTAGCTAACTTTACTAGACTTCCAATTTCATTTTTGTTGTTCTTCTTTTTTTATTAAAACAAAAACCAAAAACTTTGACAGCCTTTAACCCTTTTTTTTTTGGTTGTTGTTGTTGTTTTGGGGTTTTGCTCCTTTGTTGTTGGTGTCCGGTTGACGTTTTTTTATTTTCATTGACCTTGAAAAGAGATGAAAACAACAAAAAAAAATATTCATTAGTTTTATAATTAACTTTTATGTTGTTGTTATTGTTGTTGAGAAACAAACCAACAACAACGCCGATATCAAACATTGAAGGTAAGTCAAAAAAAAAATTGTTTTTTGTATTTTTTTCCCATTGAAACTTTTCGCCACGTAGCCAAAACTTTTCATTGTTAAATTGACTGGCTTCTCGGTGTTGGGTTGTTAATTTTGTTTTCTCAATTTCTGTTGCGAGAGGAAGAGAAAGATGGAGAGAGGGGGAAACTTTTTAATGAACTGTTATTTTTAGAAAGGGGCCATATTTTTGCGGAAACTTTTCTCTCCATTTTAATTGAAAATTCTCACTGATTTGGGTTTTAACGATAAATACTTGTTATCAAACACATTTATTTAAAGGAAAATTTGTTATCGAAAAAAATGTTTCTTCCTATCGATTACAAATTTCATAGAAAACATATTTGTGGGACGGTTTTAAAAGAAGATTTATTTTTGAAAATAGTTTATATCGATAAATAGCGATCAGAACTTCTATAGCAAATTCAGTTATCAAAACGTTTTTCGATAACAAAAAATATGTTATCGCTATATATGTAACAAGAAAATATTATTATCGATGCATTTGTCAATCGGAAATCATCGATAAACAATATTTTCTGGAAAAACTTTTAATCTATAATTTTTTTTTTTGCGAAAATATGTTTCCGATGAAAAATGGTCAATCTACAATAAAATATTTATTGTTATCGATGAGTTTCTCAATAGGAAATATAATTATCTAAAAACTCTTTTTTGGATATAATGATTATCGGCAAATTTGGCGATATAGAATTATGTTATCGATAAATATTTAATAGGAAAATATTACAATCAATGTATTTTTCAAACGGAAATGATGAAGAATTTCTTGTAGCGATCCATTTCAATAACAAAAACATTTTTTTTCGATGAACATTTGTGTTATCGATAAATATATGGCAGAAATATATTGTTATCGATGCATTTTTTCAGAGGGAAATACTATTATCTATAACATAATTTTTTGGAATTACTTGTAATGGCTTATTTTTTAATAGTAAACTGTGTTATCGATAAACTTTTCTAATGAAAATTTTGTTAGAGGTCCTTTTTTTTATAAAAACACTGTTATCGAAAAATTTTCTTAACAAAAATATGTTACCTATTAGATTTTATAATAATAAACGATATTATCATTAAAAAAATGTGCTATCGATAAGTATATAACACTAAAATATTGTCATCGATTTATTTTCTAATGGAAAATTATATTATTGATACTTTTTCTTTTGGAAGAAATGGTTATTTTCTATAGAAAAAGTTGTTATCGAACAACTTTTCTATAGAAAACGTTGTTATCGAACAACTTTTCTATAGAAAACGTTGTTATCGAACAACTTTTCTATAGAAATAGTTGCTATCGAACAACTTTTCTATAGAAAAAGTTGTTATCGAACAACTTTTCTATAGAAAAAGTTGTTATCGAACAACTTTTTTACAGAAAAAGTTGTTATCGAACAACTTTTCTATAGAAAAAGTTGTTATCGAACAACTTTTCCATAGAAAAAGTTGTTATCGAACAACTTTTCTATAGAAAAAGTTGTTATCGAACAACTTTTCTATAGAAAAAGTTGTTATCGAACAACTTTTCTATAGAAAAAGTTGTTATCGAACAACTTTTCTATAGAAAAAGTTGTTATCGAACAACTTTTCTATAGAAAAAGTTGTTATCGAACAACTTTTCTATAGAAAAAGTTATTATCGAACAACTTTTCTATAGAAAAAGTTGTTATCGAACAACTTTTCCATAGAAAAAGTTGTTATCGAACAACTTTTCTATAGAAAAAGTTGTTGTCGAACAACTTTTCTATAAAAAAAGTTGTTATCGAACAACTTATCTATAGAAAAAGTTGTTATCGAACAACTTTTCTATAGAAAAAGTTGTTATCGAACAACTTTTCTATAGAAAAAGTTGTTATCGAACAACTTTTCTATAGAAAAAGTAGTTATCGAACAACTTTTCCATAAATAAGTTGTTATCGTACAACTTTTCCATAAAAAAAGTTGTTATCGTACAACATTTTCATAGTAATAGTTATTATCGAACAACTTTTCTATAGAAGAAGTTGTTATCGAACAACTTTTCTATAGAAGAAGTTGTTATCGAAAAACTTTTGTATAGAAAAAGTTATTAACGAACAACTTTTCTATAGGAAGAGTTGTTATCGAACAACTTTTCCATAGAAAAAGTTGTTATCGAACAACTTTTCTATAGAAAGTTGTTATTGAAACAACTTTTCTATAGAAAAAGTTGTTATCGAAACAACTTTTTTATAGAAAAAGTTGTTATCGAAACAACTTTTCTATAGAAAAAGTTGTTATCGAACAACTTTTCTGTAGAAAAATTTGTTATCGAACAACTTTTCTACAGAAAAAGTTATTATCGAACAACTTTTCTACAGAAAAAGTTGTTTTCGAACAACTTTTCCATAGAAAAAATGTTATCGAACAACTTTTCTATAGAAAAAGTTGGTATCGAACAACTTCTCTATAGAAAAAGTTGTTATCGAACAATTTTCCATAGAAAACGTTGTTATCGAAAAACTTTTCCATAGAAAAAGTTGTTATCGAACAACTTTTCCATAGAAATAGTTGTTATTGAAAAACTTTTCCCTAGAAAAAGTTGTTATCGAACAACTTTTTCATAGAAAAAGTTGTTATCGAACAACTTTTTCATAGAAAAAGTTGTTATCGAACAACTTTTCTATAGAAAACGTTGTTATCGAACAACTTCTCTATAGAAAAAGTTGTTATCGAACAACTTTTCTATAGTAAAAGTTGTTATCGAACAACTTTTCTATAGAAATAGTTATTATCAATTTTGTTATCGAACAATTTTTCCATAGAAAAAGTTGTTATCGAACAACTTTTCTGTAAAAAAAGTTGTTATCGAACAATTTTTCTATTGTATACACTAAATTTTATGAGATATATTTTAAAAAATTTTTTTATCGGTTTATGTTTATTCCGATAGTAGTGTTATCGCTCAATTTTTCTAAAAAAAATTTTTTTGTTTTCGATGGACATTGTGGTGGAAATGTTGTTATCGTTTAACTTGCAATGATTTCACTGTAAAAATTCTTGTTATCGATAGATTTGTGTTTTGGAAAATGTTGTTATCGATTCAATTTTCAATAAAATTTTATAAGAAATTTCTTAAAAAAAATTATTATTAATTAGTTTTTTTTTCTTCGATAACTGTGTTATCGTTTAACTTTTCTGCAGAAATATTTGATATCGATGGATTAGTTTGTGTAAAATGTTGTTATCGATAACATTTTCAATAAATTTAATATAAGAAATTTCTTGGAAAAATTGTTATCGATTATAGTCAATGGTATTTATAATAAATGCTACTATCGATGAAAAATTTTGTTATTGATTTCTATGTAATAGAAAAATATTGTTATCGGTGCATTTTTCAATGGGAAATAATATTATCCATTATGATATTCTTTCGGTCCATTTTTTTTTTTTTGTCGAAAAAAATGTTTTCGATAAATCTTCTCAACAAAAATTTGTTATCGATTGCATTTTTTGTTAAAATAAATGATGTTATCGATTGGGTTTTCTTTGCAAAAACGTATTATCCTTCAAGTTTTAAGTGGAGAATGATGTTATCGATTATAATAGCATTAAAATTTCTGCATAAAAATGTTATCGATAACAGGTTATTCTACTAAAAAGTAGAATAACCTGTTATCGATAAAATTTTTTTTGAGAAATTTTTATAATTTAACTATTTTTTATTGTTTTAATTTAATTTGAGCCCTCTTTGAGAGTGGAAAAGCAATTATTTTCCCCAAAATTGTTGTTTTGCTTCCAGTTATCGCTAAATGAACTTTTCTCTCTGGAAAGTTGTGCAATTCTTTGGACTTGTGTGATTGGCGATTTGTCCGCCATGCCAGATTGCCTGAAAGTCAATTAATAAGTAATTAATATCGCTTATACGCCATGGCATGAACTTTTGGAGAAATAAAACGAAAACTAAAAATAGAAGTATACTTTTAGGCAATTACAAAAAATCGTCTAAGGGTCACTTGCCTCGACCGTAGGCCAGTTGTTTCCAATTTTGTTATTCCAGGTTTTTTTTTTTGCTCCCTGCCTGTGGCCATTGAACTTTACTTTGCCGTCGGTCCTTTGATGGATTACCTGGTATTTGCCTACCGGCCACTAAGTAAATTGCCCCTTAATGACGTTTTATCTGAATGGCTTACATACATAATTCGTTGGTTGGTTGGTTTGTTTTTTTTTTTTTTTTTTCTCTCCCCCTCTCTCTCTCCTCTCTCTCGGTTCTGAAAGGATACCCACTGGGCCTGCGGTTGTTAACCAGTAATGGCAAATAAATAGAGTCATGAAAGCAACAATAAAAACCGCAGGAGGAGTATAAAAAAGTATAAACTAGTAATTAAAAACCCGGCACGGCTGATGAATGAATGGCATCCCAAAGCCAGGGCCAGGGAGGGTACAGGTGAAATGCAAGAAAAAAAATCATTTCTTTTTTCGGCAAATTTTGAATGTTGAATGAGTGGAGGATGCTAAAGCAGTGAAGTGGTCTGTGGGGAATTTTTGTTAAAAAAAAAAACTGAAATACCAACAATGCGGAAACCTTTTTTTCCGCATTCAGTGGTTGTCGGCATCCCAAAATGGAATTTTAAAAGATTACAAATTTATTTAAAAAAAAGAAGGGATTTGAGGTTGTTAACTTTATGGAAAATTGATGAATGAAATGAAAAAAATATTACAAATTGTGGCCTATTCATTCGATAAGAAAGGCGATTTTGAATGTAAAGCCCATCACTGGCTTTGGAAATAAAAAAACACAAATTCTATGGCATACTTTTAGGATGATTTGTTGAAAACAAACACCAACAACACCCAAAAAATAAAAATAAATATCAC